GGGCTGCCAGGGCTGCCGGGCGAGAAGGGCCACAGGGTAAGTGGACCGCGCCGTGGGCTCTCCTGCCACCGTCATCCCCCCGCTGCCTTACCCTCTCTCTTCTGCAGGGTGACGTGGGGAAGCCAGGACCAGCGGGCCCTCCGGGGGAGAAAGGTGCCAAGGTGAGGAACGTGGGGAGGGACGGGGAAGGATCAGGCCCTGCTAGCGTTGGTGGGACGTGCTCAGCTCCGCTCTGTCCTGTCTAGGGCTCGGACGGCCTCCCGGGACCGCGGGGGCAGCCTGGGGAACCCGTAAGTCCCTGCTGCCGGCACCGGGAGCCTGGCCTGGCTTCTCCCCCAGCCCCAGGAGCGGTGCGGGGCGAGCCTGGCCTCTGACTTTCTCCTTGCGGCTTTTTGGAGCACAGATTTGGGCACTGGACTCCCCCACTGTGGGGAATATGGGGTGCTGGGGTCAGTGCTGCTGTCTGAGCCCCCGCTGACCCCTCTGTCCTTGGCCCTAGGGTATGCGAGGCCTGATCGGCTCACGCGGGTCCCCCGGGCCTTCGGTATGAGACACTGCTGCTGCCTGCCTGCCTGTCTGTCTGTCCCCACCTCTGGCCAAGAGGATTTTTCTCTGTTGCCCGTCAGCCTGGGCATGGCATCGTCCTTGGTGTGGCATCATCTTGGGGCGCAGCATGGCCCTGACCCTCCTTCCTTCTTCCGCAGGGTGCCAGCGGCATCGATGGAGCACCGGGGCCCAAAGGCAACGTGGTGGGTGTCAGTGGGGACCCCCCTGGGAGCACCCAGCCCGAATTAGCCAGTGAGAGACTGGGATGCTCCGGGGAGGGCTCGGGAGAGACCTGCCATGTGCCCTCGTGGGGCGCGTGGGCCGGGAGGGTGCCTGGGGCTGCAGCGAGGGTCGGAGTGGCACATCCTGGGGTCTGAGGAGGTTTTTTGCTGCACTAATGGACTTTCTCTGCCCCCTCTGCAGGGAATCCATGGGGAGCCGGGACCCCCGGGACAGCAAGGGAACCCTGGTCCGCAGGTACGTGGAGGTGATGGGGGCCCAACGGGGTGTCCCTATGGGGCTGGGGGCTCAAGTACTCCCTCAGTCCCTTCCCAGCCCCCCAGTCTGTTCTCTTGCAGGGTCTGCCGGGCCCCCAGGGCCCCGTCGGGCTGCCAGGAGAGAAGGTGAGTCAGGACCCAGCACGGATGGGAGCAGTGCGGAGCTGCCCCAGCTCTGAGCGGGTGGTGGGGAGCTGCAGGGGTGACCCCAGTCCTTCTGCATCCCCACAAGTCCTCCTCTCGCCCAGGGCCCACCGGGGAAGCCGGGAATACAGGGTGTAGCTGGGGCCGATGGGCCCCCGGTGAGTACCAGCAAGGGACTGTGGGGTCACTCTGGTCCCTGGCAGAGCGGGGACCCCAGGGCAGTGTCAGCATCCCGGCTCGGGGCTCACATCTTGTGTGTCCCTGCAGGGTCACCCCGGCCGAGAAGGGCCAGCCGGCGAGAAGGGCCTCCAGGTAAGGGGCTGATCCCATCGCATGCCCTGGGTGGGGGGATACGGTCCTTTTTCCAAAGGAAGGGTCCTGGTTTTGCTGACTCTCTGTCCCCAGGGCCCTGTGGGTGCCCCTGGTCCCATCGGCTATCCAGGACCCCGTGGGGTGAAGGTAAGCGCAGCCCCCCCCTCTGCCGGGCTCTGCCGAGGCACGGTGTGGGGGTTCAGGCGGTGTGCCCCAGGCTGGGGTCTCCCCTCCGTGTCTCTGCAGGGGGCTTTCGGCGTGCGGGGCCTGAAGGGCAGCAAAGGGGAGAAGGTAAGAGGTGTAGGGGAGCGGGGACAGCAGGGGACGGGGGTCCTTGTCCTGTGGTATCTGTGGGTCCCTGGTGTTGGGGGCACTTGTCCTTGCCCTGAGATAGCTGCAGGGGGGGGGACCCCTGAGCTGCAGCTGGGGCCAGCCCCTCTGTGTTGAGATTTGGGGCTCAGCCCCAGACTGTGACCCCATCTGGGGGCTTGCACCAGAGCTAACACAGTCTCAGCCCCCCAAAATGTGCCTTTTGTTCAGGGAGAAGATGGATTCCCCGGCTTTAAGGGGGACATGGGCCCCAAGGGTGACAGGGTAAGTGGGGTCTCAGGGTGAGGGTCTCCTCGTCGGGGCTGTGTAGGGTGGCTGCAGGTGCCACGAAACCCCGTGGGGTTTTGATGGCTGGCTGCAGGACTCGGGGTGCTGTGGAGGGGATGGAACTGGGGGGGACGCACAGCTCTGTCTGTGGGGACAGCTGGGGACCCGAGGGAGCAGCCCCGTCCCCCCGGCAGCATGCTCCCCGCACCTCTGCGTTACCGTTCCAGGGTGACCAGCGCCTGCCGGGCCCCCGCGGCGCGGA